TGGCTCCATTGTCACACCCTACTCTATCATAACACCTGTAAAAGTGGTAAGATTAATAGTTCGGTGCTGCAAATTCAGACATAACCCATAGATACATGTTTCATTACACATGTGAAATTTCAACCAAATATGATAACCCTAAGTGGTTTAGGGGAAATCTTTAATGAACACCCCTCGTATGTGCCATGTTTGGTTAAGATATCTCTCACGTTTTTTGTGTTCTGCTCCGGAAACGAAATGTGACGGACGGACGGCACCCATTTCTATATCCCCCTTCCACTTCTCGGCGGGGGATAATAAAAATAAGACACTTTATAGGATGTTTTGAAAGATATATGCGGACGATAATCACAGACAAAATGCATGTTATGTCGTCTGCTATATGGCAATTCAACTTAAAATGTATGACTAAAATATGTGTTTGCGCCAAAACTCATACAAAAATAACTACCGATCGTACCTAAATAACTTTGGTTCCACACAAAAGGGGAAATCGTGATGAATGTAAAAATGTTTATATTAGGACCGATAATAGGAACATATTTGTCTGAAAGCATGCGAAAATTAAGAGTTGTGGTGTAATTATTTTGGAAAAATTCAGATTTAGTCACATTTCTGGAGTCAAAATTAGAAATTTCCCAACCGCCCCAGATTTGTCAGTGGCACTACTCTAATTTTTAACATATCTCCTTTTTATACACCTCGGTAACCAAGGACTTTCATTGCGAATTAGTGGCCGTTATTGAAAATCACAATCTGCACTTTTGCCTATTTTACAAACGGACAAAGACAAAGCGTGTTCACAGTCTTCAAATACAATAACAACGACATGCTCCAGGGCATCAACAAGACTCAGCTGTAATGTTGACAACGTTAAGAAATACATGAGTGTAAATATGTGTTGTGAAATACATCTTTTGCATGGGAAAACTAGGCGACAACGATGACTGCAGTGAATGTGTTTCTGCTCGCTTTCGGACAGGCTGCGCAGAACAAGCCATAGCACCGATGGTTTCGCGCTTCGGCTAGAGGGCCGTCCCTCTATTATATGGTCTCTGATTTCACCAATACAATCCATACATTGGGATATATTTGCTTCCTGAAATCACTATGGTCACCCTCTTGGTAGAAAGCCAGTAATGGAGAATGGCAAGTTCTTGGATGCAATGCTGCAGGGAGATGGTGGGAGGGAGATGGTGGGAGGGAGATGGTGGCAGGGAAATGGTGGGAGGGAGATGCTGCAGGGAGATGGTGGCAGGGAGATGCTGCAGGGAGATGGTGGAAGGGAGATGGTGGCAGGGAGATGCTGCAGGGAGATGGTGGCAGGGAGATGGTGGCAGGGAGATGGTGGGAGGGAGATGCTGCAGGGAGATGGTGGGAGGGTGATGGTGGCAGGGAGATGCTGCAGGGAGATGGTGGAAGGGAGATGGTGGCAGGGAGATGCTGCAGGGAGATGGTGGAAGGGAGATGCTGCAGTGAGATGGTGGCAGGGAGATGGTGGCAGTGAGATGCTGCAGTGAAATGGTGGCAGTGAGATGGTGGCAGGGAGATGGTGGCAGGGAGATGCTGCAGTGAAATGGTAGCAGGGAGATGGTGGCAGGGAGATGGTGGCAGGGAGATGCTGCAGGGAGATGGTGGCAGGGAGATGGTGGAAGGGAGATGGTGGGAGGGAGATGCTGCAGTGAGATGGTGGTAGGAAGATGGTGGCAGTGAGATGCTGCAGGGAGATGGTGGAAGGGAGATGGTGGCAGGGAGATGCTGCAGGGAGATGGTGGCAGGGAGATGCTGCAGGGAGATGGTGGGAGGGAGATGCTGCAGGGAGATGGTGGGAGGGAGATGGTGGCAGGGAGATGCTGCAGGGAGATGGTGGAAGGGAGATGGTGGGAGGGAGATGCTGCAGGGAGATGGATGGTGGCAGGGAGATGCTGCAGTGAGATGGTGGCAGGGAGATGGTGGCAGGGAGATGGTGGCAGTGAGATGCTGCAGTGAAATGGTGGCAGTGAGATGATGGCAGGGAGATGGTGGCAGGGAGATGCTGCAGTGAAATGGTGGCAGTGAGATGGTGGCAGGGAGATGGTGGCAGGAAGATGCTGCAGGGAGATGCTGCAGGGAGATTGTGGCAGGGAGATGGTGGCAGGGAGATGGTGGAAGGGAGATGGTGGGAGGGATATGCTGCAGTAAGATGGTGGCAGGGAGATGGTGGCAGGGAGATGCTGCAGGGAGATGGTGGAAGGGAGATGGTGGGAGGGAGATGCTGCAGGGAGATGGTGGCAGTTAGATGCTGCAGGGAGATGGTGGAAGGGAGATGGTGGCAGGGAGATGCTGCAGGGAGATGGTGGAAGGGAGATGGTGGGAGGGAGATGCTGCAGGGAGATGGTGGCAGGGAGATGGTGGCAGGGAGATGGTGGGAGGGAGATGGTGGCAGAGAGATGCTGCAGGGAGATGGTGGCAGGGAGATGGTGGCAGGGAGATGCTGCAGGGAGATGGTGGCAGGGAGATGCTGCAGTGAGATGGTGGCAGTGAGATGGTGGCAGGGAGATGGTGGCAGGGATATGGTGGCAGGGAGATGCTGCAGTGAAATGGTGGCAGTGAGATGGTGGCAGGGAGATGGTGGCAGGGAGATGGTGGCAGGGAGATGGTGGCAGTGAGATGCTGGAAGGGAGATGGTGGCAGGGAGATGGTGACAGGGAGATGGTGGGAGGGAGATGGTGGCAGGGAGATGGTTGAAGGGAGATGGTGAGAGGGAGATGCTGCAGTGAGATGGTGCAGTGAAATGGTGGCAGTGAGATGCTGCAGGGAGATGGTGGCAGGGAGATGGTGGCAGGGAGATGGTGACAGGGAGATGCTGGAAGGGAGATGGTGGCAGGGAGATGGTGACAGGGAGATGGTGGGAGGGAGATGGTGGAAGGGAGATGGTGAGAGGGAGATGCTGCAGTGAGATGGTGGCAGGGAGATGGTGGCAGTGAGATGCTGCAGGGAGATGGTGGCAGGGAGATGGTGGCAGGGAGATGGTGACAGGGAGATGGTGGGAGGGAGATGGTGGCAACGAGATGCTGCAGGGAAATGGTGGAAGGGAGATGGTGACAGGGAGATGGTGACAGGGAGATGGTGACAGTGAGATGGTGACAGGGAGCTGGTGACAGGGAGCTGGTGGCAGGGAGATGGTGGCAGTGAGATGCTGCAGGGAGATGGTGGCAGTTAGATGCTGCAGGGAGATGGTGGAAGGGAGATGGTGGCAGGGAGATGCTGCAGGGAGATGGTGGAAGGGAGATGGTGGGAGGGAGATGCTGCAGGGAGATGGTGGCAGGGAGATGGTGGCAGGAAGATGGTGGGAGGGAGATGGTGGCAGAGAGATGCTGCAGGGAGATGGTGGCAGGGAGATGGTGGCAGGGAGATGCTGCAGGGAGATGGTGGCAGGGAGATGCTGCAGTGAGATGGTGGCAGTGAGATGTGGCAGGGAGATGGTGGCAGGGATATGGTGGCAGGGAGATGCTGCAGTGAAATGGTGGCAGTGAGATGGTGGCAGGGAGATGGTGGCAGGGAGATGGTGGCAGGGAGATGGTGGCAGTGAGATGCTGGAAGGGAGATGGTGAGAGGGAGATGCTGCAGTGAGATGGTGGCAGGGAGATGGTGGCAGTGAGATGCTGCAGGGAGATGGTGGCAGGGAGATGGTGGCAGGGAGATGGTGACAGGGAGATGGTGGGAGGGAGATGGTGGCAACGAGATGCTGCAGGGAAATGGTGGAAGGGAGATGGTGACAGGGAGATGGTGACAGGGAGATGGTGACAGTGAGATGGTGACAGGGAGCTGGTGACAGGGAGCTGGTGGCAGGGAGATGGTGGCAGTGAGATGCTGCAGGGAGATGCTGCAATGAGATGGTGGCAGTGAGATGCTGCAGGGAGATGCTGCAGGGAGATGCTGCAGTGAGATGGTGGCAGTGAGATACTTCAGGGAGATGCTGTAGTGAGATGGTGGCAGTGAGATGCTGCAGGGAGATGCTGCAGTGAGATGGTGGCAGAGAGATGCTGCAGGGAGATGGTGGCAGGGAGATGGTGGCAGGGAGATGCTGCAGGGAGATGGTGGCAGGGAGATGCTGCAGTGAGATGGTGGCAGGGAGATGGTGGCAGGGAGATGGTGGCAGGGATATGGTGGCAGGGAGATGCTGCAGTGAAATGGTGGCATTGAGATGGTGGCAGGGAGATGGTGGCAGGGAGATGCTGGCAGTGAGTTGGTGGCAGGGAGATGGTGGCAGGGAGATGGTGGCAGTGAGATGCTGGAAGGGAGATGGTGGCAGGGAGATGGTGACAGGGAGATAGTGGAAGGGAGATGGTGAGAGGGAGATGCTGCAGTCAGATGGTGCAGTGAAATGGTGGCAGTGAGATGCTGCAGGGAGATGGTGGCAGGGAGATGGTGGCAGGGAGATGGTGACAGGGAGATGCTGGAAGGGAGATGGTGGCAGGGAGATGGTGACAGGGAGATGGTGGGAGGGAGATGGTGGCTGGGAGATGGTGGCAGTGAGATGCTGCAGGTAGATGGTGGCAGGGAGATGGTGGCAGGGAGATGGTGACAGGGAGATGGTGGGAGGGAGATGGTGGCAGCGAGATGCTGCAGGGAAATGGTGGAAGGGAGATGGTGACAGGGAGATGGTGACAGGGAGATGGTGACAGTGAGATGGTGACAGGGAGCTGGTGACAGGGAGCTGGTGGCAGGGAGATGGTGGCAGTGAGATGCTGCAGGGAGATGCTGCAATGAGATGGTGGCAGTGAGATGCTGCAGGGAGATGCTGCAGTGAGATGGTGGCAGTGAGATACTTCAGGGAGATGCTGTAGTGAGATGGTGGCAGTGAGATGCTGCAGTGAGATGGTGGGAGGGAGATGCTGCAGGGAGATGGTGACAGCCAAAGCCTCAACTGATATCTGTGAAAGCTTGCTGAACAGTCTGTGAATTATGCTCAGGAAACAAAACGTGACACATGGAATGACGTAAGAAGAGGTACTCACATTACAATGCATTGCAATCTGTCGCACCAGCACTGCCAGGCTGCTGTCAGAGATGATCTTGGTGTCTGTGTGACCAAGGATATCAGCAATATCTGCAAATTGAACACAAAAGTAAAACATCACTTGAGGAGAAAGTGAACTGTATCAATAAAACGCCTGACACCAGCTAAGTTTGTTGATCATACTGCACGGACAACTAGCATTATTTCAGGTCATCAAAGAAGACTAGCTTGGTGTGGGATGCAAGGAAAGATGGCATTAGCTTAAGACTGCATCACAGATGACTAGCTCGGTGTGGGATGCACATCTTCCCGAGTCAAGGGAGTTAACTGACTATTCAAGTCCAGTTTCCACCCTTGCTGAACTAGGCTGGAATTATATTTTGGCTGGATTAACGAGTCTATGCATAGTTCAATCCAACTCGTGTAACAAAATTAAAAATTTGAATCATAAATAACATGGCGACACCCATGCAGATTTCAATTGATTGCAGGAATTGCAGAGCATGCGTCCCGTAAACTGGGCGTCGACATGTATTTCCCCAAGCCTTTTATGTTTTTGATAAAGGACAAGACCCTCTTTATTACAATATAGATCTTGATTATCAATCAGATCGTCTTGACTGGGGGCCGCCTTTTTTTTTAAGCAAATGCAAACGATATGGTCAATAGGAGGGACATAGAAGGGACATAACTCATAATAGCTACTGGTGGCACGATGGTCGAGCCCATAAATTCCAGTCTAGTTCGGCAAAGGTAGAACCTGGACTTTTACAGTCACTTAACTCACTTGCCTTGGGAAGATGGGGATGCAAGGACAGCTGGCGTTAAGACTGCATCACAGATGGCTAGATTGGTGTGAAATGTAAGGCAACCTGATGTAAGTCTGAGTCACACTGCAGAAGATGTAGGCGTCACCAGATATAAACATCAACTGAATAAACACCATGGGTACAACAACCTAAAGCTTACATGTCTTAAACATTGGACCCAAATAATATGGTATACATATAAATAGACACACAAAATGTTTCAAAAGAGGAAAATAATTACCTGAGAACATGGATATGTTTGACACCATCAGGCATTAACAGAGCCCTACACTACACAGACCAGGAGCTGTAGGACCCCTAACACTCACAGGCATGAACAGAGCCCTACACTACACAGATGAGGAGCTGTAGGACCCCTTACACTAACAGGCATGAACAGAGCCCTACATGACACAGACCAGGAGTTGTAGGACCCCTTACACTAACAGGCATGAACAGAGCCCTACATGACACAGACCAGGAGCTGTAGGACCCCTTACACTAACAGTCATGAACAGAGCCCTACATGACACAGACCAGGAGCTGTAGGACCCCTTGCACAACAGGCATGAATAGAGCCCTACACTGCACAGACCAGGAGTTGTAGGACCCCTTACACTAACAGGCATAAACAGATCCCTACACTACACAGACCAGGAGCTGTAGGACCCCTTACACTAACAGGCATGAACAGAGCCCTACACTACACAGACCAGGAGCTGTAGGACCCCTTGCACAACAGGCATGAATAGAGCCCTACACTGCACAGACCAGGAGTTGTAGGACCCCTTACACTAACAGGCATAAACAGATCCCTACACTACACAGACCAGGAGCTGCAGGGCCCCTTACACAAACAGGCATGAACAGAGCCCTACATGACACAGACCAGGAGCTGTAGGACCCCTTACACTAACAGGCATGAACAGAGCCCTACACTGCACAGACCAGGAGCTGTAGGACCCCTTGCACAACAGGCATGAACAGAGCCCTACATGACACAGACCAGGAGTTGTAGGACCCCTTACACTAACAGGCATGAACAGAGCCCTACACTGCACAGACCAGGAGCTGTAGGACCCCTTACACTAACAGGCATGAACAGAGCTCTACATGACACAGACCAGAAGCTGTAGGACCCCTTACACTAACAGGCATGAACAGAGCCCTACTCTACAGACCAGGAGCTGTTGGTATACCAGCTGCTGACAGATATCAAACAATAGTTATCATTGTTAATAGTTCTAAAAATACTACCTCTATTACACCACTGCCATTAATCCTGTATTTTGGCATTCATCACACCGTAAAATCTACGAGTTTGCAACAGAAGACTTCTCACCGTCAGCTATCCATAAACAGTTAAACAGGAAATAGTATCTTGGTGCCTCATGCTCTTGCAAATGCGCGAGTTAGTAAGATCTCACTTCTTTCCAACAATCACACACAAGATGCATATATTTGGGAAGTGTGTGGGACTACTCCTGAGGTAATAGAGGTAGTATCATTAGAATCATTAACAATTACTATTTTGTTATAATTGCTATGAATATCCTACCTCTTTTACATTACTGCCACAAAGTCTTAGAGCGACTGGTGGGTTCTGACATCTAGTAATCTAGGATAGTTAACAGTTGTTTTGGGGTACCCAAAAAATCCAAAACTTCTTCAAAACGTGATGGATCAGGTAGATGATGAAGATTAGGTAACACCTTAAAACTGAAACACCTTAAAAAGACTATACCAGAAGATGTTATTTGCATCCCAAACCACTTGTGACGTCATCAGATGACTGCAGATAGTCTGCCAGACACAAAATCAGTGATGTGCCTACCACTTCTGCTGACACCTTCCGGTCCCGACGACGACACTCCCAGTTCTGATGTCACATCCAGTAATGACGACTCTTCTGGTTGACCTGACCTGACATCATACCAGTGATGTAACTCTAGTCGTTAACCTATGATCTGCCCTATTCACTGTAGACAAAGATCAAACGGTTAACTCAACTACCAAAGCTGAGGCCGCAGGAAAATCCTTGCACCAACCACCAAAGACTCCCACATCAGGTTTTATGTCTATGATATGTTTGAACGTATTGTGGGACTTCTACCAGACCACTTGTTCAGTGGAGTCTGTGCTTTGTGGCTGGTTGATAAGGCTGTAAAAGAATACAACGTTGGAGTACAATGTAGATGGTTCTGCATTCTCTGCAGATGGAATTGTTGGCCCTCTGGCCACGGTACAAGCTGTGATCGTTGATGGAAATGCAACTTGTATCCTTTTCTTACAACTTCAAGAATCCAGCAGTTGTTTTTGACATGCTTTAAAGTTTTGATGTATGACACACAACATCCTCCCACTGGTCCCAGAATTGGTGTCCGTTAGTTGGATCAAAGTCCATAAACCAATCCAGGTCTATGGAGTCAGATCCGAGATGTGTGGGTAAGAATGCATTATACCGGACACCGGAACAAATGTTTGATAGGGTGCGGCAACTGATGCGCATAAACACCCCTAGCAACAAGGAATTTTGTTTACACCGCCATTTTGGATACACATACCCATAATAATATGTACGGTATAGTATGTATACAAAAATCAATACAAATCTGTAAGTTCTTACCATTACAAGACAAAGTCATCCAAACTGTCATTTGCCGCTGTGTTTACAGGAGCGAGTGGTTGCTGTTTCACAATGATGTCCCTGTCTGGTTATATGCTCGTGTGATGAGTGGAACAAAGGCAGTAAATTTGTTACTCACGTCAAGATACTTTCTCCTCACACAAAATTCCGAAGAACTTGTGTTGATATATTTGATATCAAAAGACATGATGGTGAGATTCTATATGTGTACCAATGTGTGGTTTCTGGACAGTCAGATTTGGCGATTACCTCTTCCCCTAGCTCTGGTCCTGCCTCCTACTCTATGTTTCAGCTCAAAATGTCTACCGCGGTCTATTGTTTCAGTGTTTAGACAGGACAGACCTCTTAGACACTGCTCTATTCCGAACTTGTGAGATAAGATGTTGAATCTGAGATCATAACAACTGTCCAAACATCCAGACTTGGGTGGACAAGAAATCATCCTGCATCTTCACTAAGGCCCAATCTCCACGGTATGTCTATTGAATGTGCCGAAGTCGATGGGTTGTGACAACAAGCATACTCAAGCAACTAAGGTGTGGCCTGATCTTAGGTTGCATGTCCAGCATAAGGTGATAAATCTTCTCAAGTAGTTGTCCATTGGTGACAAAAGACCTTGAAGGAGAATGGGTGCCGGCCTCACACATGCAATCCTCTGGACAACAGTGGTCAGATGTCTCTCATTCAGAGCCTGCATGTCGTCTTGCTGCTCCTTCATTAATTGCTCAAATACATTGAGGGAGAGCGTCTGGGTGGATACAGACTCGATTTGCTTCTGTCGCCACAACCCTGTTCCTCCATGAAAAACTGTCTGCCAAGATGTTGAATTTCCTGGGAATACATCTTCCCGAGGCAAGAGAGTTAACTGACTATTTTCCAGCCTTGCCGAACTAGGCTGGTATTATGGAGTTACGTTTTGTCTGGACTAACGAGTCTATGCATAGTCCAATCAAAATCAAGCACCGAAATTGAAATCCGGTTCGTAAACTGTTGTGCAGATTTCAGTCGATTGCAGGATTTGCAAAGCATGTGCACCACCAACTCGTTGTCAGCAGGTATTTTCCAAATCTTCTCATGTTTTTAATCAAGGTGTTCACGTGATTTGATGCATTTCGCGATGTAAGACCCGTTTTATCACAATATATATCTTGATTATCGATCAGATCGTCCTGACTGGGCGCCACCATTTTGTGTGAAGCAAACGCAAGTGTTACGAGAGGTGGAATCTGAATGGTCCATAGGGGAGGCTTAGAAGGGACATAACTGGTAATAGCCACTGGTGGCGCTACGATCACACCCAGTAATTCCAGCCTAGTTCGGCAAGGGTGGAAACTGGACTTTTAAAGTCAGTTAACTCTCTTGCCTCGGGAAGATGTGGGAGTGAGTGAGTGAGTGAGTGAGTGAGTGAGTGAGTGAGTTGGGTTTAACGCCGCTTTTAGCAGTATTCCAGTTATATAGAACGGCGTGTCAGCTTAATGTGGGAGGAAAGCCCGAAGTGATGCAGGTCTCAGATGTTTACCACTTCAGTGAAACCCATGAGCACGGGTATGGTGCTGACAAACCTAGATCCTCATACTGTTGTCAAGCAAGACTGGCTGTAGATATCGATGAAAAAACCTCAAAGGTTTTCTTTT